GGGCCGATTTTGGGAAAGCCATTTCCAGATGGGGAAGAACAGCCTGGGTTTCCTTTAGGATCTGCTTCAGCCTGTTTGGGGCGGGGAGTAAATGGGGTTGGGGGGTAAGGGATAATGAATGGGAAGAGAGGGCTGCTCCCCTACCCAGGGAACCCGGAAAGCCTGCCCTTTCCTGCCAGCAGCCTCCTCTCAGTCGGAGAGAAGCGGTAGGTCTCGGGTGGAAAGAAGGGTCCGGCTTCGGTTCTTTTAGGAGTGGATCTTTCCCCTGCCCTCGGACCCCATTATTCTGACGTTTTACTCTCCCTCTGGCCCCCATGTCAAAGCAGCTGCAGGCGTGGGGAGAGGGTGCACAGAGGGCTTGGTGTTTCTCTTGGAGTTGGCCCCCATGTTTCCATCGCACCACTGCGAGCCTGTGCCTTCAAGTTCACCGCCACCCTGCCACCAGCCTAGGCTCTCTGGGCCAAGTCGGACTCAGTTCGTTTAGTTCCAAAAGGCTGACAAACCGGCCGAGGAGACAGATCTCGCAGCGGAGCCGGAGATGCATAAGCTCCGAAGCATCAGCGGTGTCCCTGGCTTCCAGGGCGCAGGGAGCCGGGCGGAGAACGTTCCCTTCCTGAAGATATTCGGGGGCAGAAAGTTCTGTTGCTGTTCCCACTGGTGACTTTTCCACCTGCAGGCGGCGGCGGAGGGAGGAGAGTGTGGGGGGGAGGAGCAGGTTTCCAACGTCCCTTTTCACATCTCTGATAAGTGTAACTCTGTGGTGCCCGCAGCCCCCGAGGAAGACCCTTCCTTTGGAAAGGCAAGAAAGGGGAACCTCCTCCAGGCGACAGAAGGGCCCTGCCGAGGGAGGCCAGCTCCGTAAAACGGATGAAGGGGACCCTGTCGGTAGTAGAAACACTAAAGGGCCCTGTAGCACGCGGTAGCTCTCCCTTGCGAGCCACCCCTTTGGCTTGGACACCTCCATGCTCCAGGTAGAGGAAATGGTTATGTGCTTCCCAGCGCCAGCTAACCAGTGCTCCGAGCCGCGGCCCGGTCGTCCCCAAAGTACAGCAAAGCTGGGGGCGCATCCTGGAGAATGGAAATCTGGAGTTTCCCCAGTCTAGGAGAGAAGGTTCACTCTCCTTCCCTACCCCCGCCTGAAG